AAAAGTATAATAAATATAGTAATAAATATAAGTATAATAATAAATTAGAATATGAATAGTGTATAAATTATTGCATGTACTTATGTGTAATAATAATCTTGTATATAACATTATATATATTTATATGTTAGTATATAGGGTAAAATGTTAAAATTTACTCATTTCTAGGAATCTTGGGAAATGTATTTTGGTTTTTGAAATTATCAAATTTGTATTTTCTAAAATGTTACTGTTACAATTAACAAAACAGCTTTTGTATCTTCTAAGTTATTTGTCTTTGCGGTTTATCTTTGTGATTTTTATTTCTTTGAGATTATTAATAATGAATACCTCTGAAAAACGAAAGTAAAGAAGGGGAAAATATTCCAAAATCTGAAATCGGCTTTCCACTCTGTGATTATTTAAAATTAAAAAATCTTCTTTTAATTTCAACAAAGACGCTCCGAGATAAAAATAATCATGTTATACTACAAGCTTCAAAAGCTTCAGGAAACTAAAATTCACAAAGCATTTTTTTTCATAAGATTCGCATTTCCTGTATCCTCCTAACCTAAGATATGTCCAAACATGTTTTTCCCATAATCGCAATAAAAATTTTATAGAAGTTGCAGATCTCCAAAGTTTTGAAATAGCTTTTCTCTCATAACTTCATCAACAATTTCCTAAAGCCTAATATCAATTTCCCATTATGTGAAGTTCATAAATCCAACCGAAATTTTGTCTACAAATTTCTCAGATTGCAAGTCTTCAAATCATGTTTCCTTCATGATTTCCTCAATATTTCCAAAATACATTAAATTTTGACAATCTAACAAAGAGAAGAACAATGCATTATAAGTTTCTAAAATTTATTTATATATTCCTATTTATATATATTATATATATTCCTTTATAATTTCTCCAAAATATATCAGATTCTTTCAACAAATTATTAATAAATTTTTCCAAAATATATAAAATGTTGTCAACCTACCAAAGAGAAGAACAATATGTTATAGTTTTTTTGAATTCTCTATAACATTTCTCCTTTATAATTTCATCCAAATATATTAGATTGTTTCAACAAATTATTAATAAATTTTCCCAAAATATATTAAATATTGCCAACCTAATATTTGCAAAAATATATCAGCTCCTCTCAACCTAACAAAGAGAAACATAATACATCATAAATTTTTTAAATTCCCCAAATCATTTCTCCTCTATAATTTCACCAAAAATATATCAAACCCAGAGAACAAAATAAACAAAAAAACATTATAAATTCTTCAAAATTTCCATATCATTTCTCCTCTATAATTCCTCCAATTTTCTAAATATATTAAATCCTGCCCACACAAGAAAAAGGGAGAAAAAAATTAAAAATAAAGAACGAGAAATTAACTATTTTATCTTAACTATTTTATCAACATTATACGAGATTCTTAGTAATGTAATCGGGTCAAACACGGGCACCACGAGTAAGAAACGTGGTCTGTATTATAATGCCCAATGTAAGTAACACATTTTTCAACCGACTAGTCACGCGTGACCGACTTTACTTTTGATTATGGCACTCGCCATCGTAACTTAAATAGTATGACAATGGATTAATCATCGTCACTGATTTCTCGAAGCACGAAGTAGATTTATTTTCACGAGAAGGAAAACAGGTCTTACCATTCGTGCAGCAGAGAGAGTTCCGCCCTTGAAACACGTGCGGAGATAAGTACTGTGGATGATGGTTTGTGGGGGTTGGCGGGGTAGTCCGACTGTTAGGTACGGACATAGTCGTCCAAGGTGGTGCTGCATCTTTCATCACGTTTTCCTCTGTGCTGCTGGCCGGCACCTCATTGGTTACCCGGACCTCTATTCCCACAGTCTGTAAAAATAGCAAGAAGACGTTCCTTCTTAATTACACCTGAGTGGCGAGGCATAAGAAGCCTGTTCTAAAACGAGATAATTCAATCGACTCTTACAGCTTCACCCAATCTTTTACATCCAACTGAAATTATAAATGCAAACTTCGAGCTAAAATTGGATCGTGTATTTTGTGAATTAACCCTTTACACTCTAGAGGAGCCCTTCAGTCGCCTTTGATAAAATTTCGAAGCTCGATATTAATTAATATATCGAATTTAAAATAATGTAACTTAAAGTGTAATTTGAAATAATTAAATAATGCGAGATATCGAAATAAAATAATTCTACGTGTTAATTATTATACGATTTCTTATTTACTGGTCAAATAATATCATCAGCTTTATAGCAGAAAATTTTTTAATTCGTACTCTTCTTTAGCCAAAAAATTGTCGAGCGGAAAGGGTTCCAAATTTTCCAAAATTTGAAAAACGATTGTTCACGATTTTATATTATACCAATGCGATTTAATATTTGAGATGCTGTTATTTTTTAATGTTCGACACCTTTAATTGACAAATTTGAGTAAAGTATACGAAATAAAGGTGAAAGTGAATTATTTATTGAATGCATAAATGAGTGGCTGTTAAATTAATAAAATTTTGAAAAATTCAGGTAAAAGTGAAATTAATTATTTGGGGCTGGGTATGACTGAATTATGGACATGTGATTTAACGTTTGAGTTATTGTTATATTTATTTTTATTGTTTTTTATTGTTTTATTTATTTTATTGAATGCATAACTGAGTTATAAATTAATAAACTTTTGAAAAATTCGTATAAAGGTGAAATTAATTATTTGGGACTGGGTATGGCTCAAGTATGGAAATGTGATTTAACGTTTAAGTTATTGTTTTATTTATTTTGACTGTAAATCAGTGGACCAATTAAAATGAATTATATCAAATAAAAATGAAAGTTATATTATCGTGAATTCGTAATTGTGGAGATTTTATACTTGTTATTTTTACATTTTGCGAATCTCTTTTAATTGGTCAATTAGAGCGAAGTATGAAAGAGGAAAATGATAGAAATTAGGTTCAATTACTTATGGTATTAACATATGTTAAAGTGATTTAATAATTACATTATTCATTATTTTAGATTCTTTAAGATTAACCATATACAGATTTCCAAATTAACTAATGTACCCATGCAATTAGCGAATATATTGCAATATTGGTCATTATACAAACCGCTGGAATATTCGACTATTTGACCTGGTAAAATTTCATGAACTAAATTATCCAGCGATTAACCGTTCAAAACAAATATTTAGAATAATTTCATCTCCATCCCTCAACAACATTTATTCCTTCATCTCCAAATCTATACCCTTCGTCACCAAAATTAACCTAAAACTGTTTCAAAAATTCCAAAAATAAAATTCAATATACATAAACTCAACATATACCTACATGAATTTCACTGCATCATTTTCAAAATTAACCTAACCCAAACCATATAAAAAATTGTAAAACAAAATTATACATATATAAACTCAACATATACACACATTAATTTCTTCCCATTATTTTCAAAATTAACCTAACACAAACCATATAAAGAATTTGAAAAATATAGTTATACATACATAAATTTATTCTCATCGTCATTAAAATTAACCTAACCCAAACCATATAAAGAATTACAAAAGTAAAATTAAGCGTATATGAACTGAACGTATATATAAATAAATTTTTCCCTATCATTTTGAAAATTAATCTAACCCAACCATATCAAAAGTTCCACAAATTAAATTAAGTATAGTATAATATTAAATTAAATAAATTAAGTATAGTTAAGTATTATATTAAACTCAACATATACATACATAAATTCCATAAATCACAAATTATATTATGCATTAACGCAGGATTAACCAAATTCCATTATTTTTGCTGCCTCAAGGACCAACCAGAAGAGACAACACTCTCCTGATTAAAATTCCAGCTTCATCGAATAACCATGACACTCAAAGGAGCCATTTGGCAATTTTTTAAAAGCCCTCGTCTCGTAAACATCTGGCAATATCGGTTGATCTTGACTTCCTGGAGCACGATCACCGTGCCATCCCTATAAGAAAAACGAAAAGAAGCAAGGAATGAAAGGGGAAGTCTCGAGGACTTGAGCGTGTTCCAGGAGAGTAGGGGGTTCAACGATGAGAATAAGATGCCATCATGATCACGCAGATATCGAGAGATCGTTCCGGTTGGTGCAGCCCTTGGGACCCTCCGCCGCGCCATCTACATCATGGCGGCATCGTGGCGAGGGCGATTCTTTGAGAAAGTCATTGGCGTAAAAAAAGGTCACGAACAGGTACAGCCAAGGGCTGCTCGTGCCTGAAGAAAATGCAAGACCCGGCGAGATTTCCCGAGCAATTTTCCAGCCGCTCTTCGGCTCGATAACTAGATTCCCCGAGACATTAATAACCTCACTTTGTGGCTACGTAAATAATTAAACGATACGATCCCACCGTGGACTTTTAACGTTCTAGTTTACCTCGAATTACACCTCAGCAGTGCACAGCTCTATTTTTATTAAGGAAAGTGATTTAGGGGTTGATCGGATTAAGTGAAACAGTCAGGCGAATTTCGGATCGATATTTTTCGCGAAGTTTTTCAATCACGAGTACAAACTGACTACAATTCAATTCCTAAATTTGTGATAAATGGAAATATCTGAAGGAAAATAGATAAAATATCTAAATATCTATATCTAAATAAATGTATAAAAGAAAATTGATGTTGGTTAGATTGGAGGTTAGGTTATTTTGAAGAATTGAAAAATTGCAAGGTCAATAATTGTAATTAATTATTTATTTGTGACTATGTATTTAAATTGTTTATTATTTATTTATTTATTTATTTAAGGTTATCTATTTCAAATATTTTTTGTTTATAGAAATTACTTACTTAAGATTATGTATATAGTTGTATATAGTTTTATATAATAATTGTATATATTTAGAAATTCGTTGATGAAATTATGGCAGTTAAGTGATTCGTTCAGTCTAGTTTCCATTTCAATTGGATAACTCCAAACACTGCAACTGAGGCGCAGTATAACTCGATGTCGCACATACAATGTGTTACACAAAGATTCAATTATAACATACAGTGAGCACTTAGTAGTAATTGGCAACACCATGTATAGTATGTAACGAGCGAAATGCTGTTTTAGCCATCTACACATTTAATAAGGTCTTAGTGATCGGTGAGTATAGTCATACATACTGTATGCTCAGTATTGGATGATTATAGTCACCATATTTCGTACAAAATGAATTCTCAGTATTATATAACTATATTCACTAATATTGTACGAAACGAATTGTCAGTGTTCATTGGTTATAGTCATCAGTATAGTGTACTATACGAAACAATTTCTCAGCACCGAGTAATTATAGTCAGTTTTATTATATAAAGCATATAATCAATATCAACTAACTATAGTCACGTATACTGTACAAAGCGAATTCTCACCGTTAAATAATTATAGTCAATTAATAAGGCCTTAGTGATCGGTGAGTATAGTCATTCATACTATATGTTCAGTACTCAATGATTATAGTCACTTATATCGTTCAAAATGAATCCTCAGTATTATCTAATTATAATCATCAATATCGTATGAAACAAATTATTAGTGTTTATTGGTTATAGTCATCATGATAGTGTACTATACGAAACAATTTCTCAGCACCGAGTAATTATAGTCAGTTTTATTATATAAAGCATATAATCAATATCAACTAACTATAGTCACGTATACTGTAAAAAGCGAATTCTCACCGTTAAATAATTATAGTCACTCGTGCTGTACGAAGTACATTCTTATTATAACATTGAATCTTTATAGTCACCTTATAGTCAATTTGTAGTCTCCATAGCACCGAGTAATTACAGTCAGTCTCATTATATAAAGCATATAATCAATATCAGCTGACTATAGCCACATATACTGTACAAAGCGAATTCTCACCGTTAAATAATTATAGTCATTCGTGCTGTGCGAAGTACATTCTTATTATAACATTGAATCTTTATAGTCACCTTATAGTCAATTTGTAGTCTCCTAAGTTGGATCATCAGAGTCATTGGTAATATATAATACATCAAGCGTTCAACGAAAGGTAATTATAGTCATCCATGTAGTGAACCTCTCACAGTGCTATACAATCGCAATTTATTACAGTCACCGCCCAACCATAGTTCAGAAGATAGTGACTATAATTGCCCCAACTTATGTCTGGATAGTAACTATAATAACCCAAACTTATGTCTGGATAGTGACTATAATTACCCAAACTTATGTCTGGATAGTGACTATAATAACCCAAACTTATGTTCGGATAGTGACTATAATTACCCAAACTTATAGTCGATAAAAATGAAAGCTTAAATTATCTGACAAATTCTACAATAGCTTAATTTTTGTTCGAACGAAAGAATTCAATGATGCAAGAATTACACGTCGCGGGAAGACCGTGGCTCTCTCCGGAATACAAGAGGCAGAAAGCAACCTTCTGCGATCTATTCGAAGGTTTCCACATTTGTCTGACCACCGACGCAAAGACGTATTGATTCTGCGAATTCAGTCAACAGGTAGCCTGCGCTTTCACTGAACCCCGCTCTACACACACCTGATCTCTTCATCCCCTGGGTTTCCTGTGCCATCGGCGGGATGATTCTGTCTCAGATGAGCCTGAGGAAATAAATTCCATCGGACATTCTCCATCCGTTAGTCAAGTACACGGAAGAGGAAAGAACTTGCATTTGATTCGCTACTACTGGAATCTTTTCACGCTTCCTGCGAATTTTTCACATATTTCGTCGCGCGATTTTTCAATCGTAGTCGAAGAATATTAATCGTAGTTTTCTTTTAAAAATAAATGAGACCAGATACCATATTATTATCGTCCTGATAACATTGTATAATATTTATAATTTTATCAAGTGT